AGCAAGGGAAGGGTGTGGTCCAGCAAGGAGAAGGGTGTGGTCCAGCAAGGGAAGGGTGTGGTCCAGCAAGGGAAGGGTGTGGGAAGGGTATAGTGCAGTATGAGGGGCAACAAGGTTGGTTGACAAGCCATTCTTTTTAATGGGCTGCCAGCACACCTCGTTGCACCTCATACTGCATCTTACCCTTTCCTGGCAACAAGTTAAAGTGCATGTAGTAGCACACCATATAGATGTGAAGCCAGCCTTATACTGGATTTTCTTTTTCTGCAAAAAAAAAAAAAAAGTAAAAAGAAAGCTATAGTCAACAAATAAAATTTCAAAAAGCTGCACAAACCGCCCCCCCCGCCCCTTTTAATTTTCCATGTTCAGAGTTTCACATTCCCCGAAACAGAATACACACTTCTTATACAAACCTGTGTGTTTATTACACAAGAAAGTGAGCATCGTGGATGCAGAGGAGACCTATACAAATCTCTGGGGATTACTCCAAAGCTTTTGCAAACAACCTTTTTATTATTCGATATAGATATATATTTATATATGCCATCATTTATTATATACACACTGTACAATCTCTGTATCTGAACACAGTGAAAGATATTTACTTTAAAAGTACAAAATGGAATAGAACTGTACAGAAAGGTTTGGAGAAGAGGAGCCATTGTGAAAAGCTGTAGCATACCATTGAGATTTTGTCTGATTATGGATCACGCAGAGTTTGGTTTTTTTTTCTCACACGATTCAAAAATGATAACAATTGAACTTTGGTTAATAACGATTTACAGGATAATACATTTCTGCATAATAACACCAGAGAAAACCAAGTATGGCAAACCTATAAAACATGATGAAAGAATGTATCTGTATTGACAATACCAGCTTTCATATTTGAACTTGAAAACTGACAGCTGATTGGCTACTATGGGCAACCTATCCATAACTTAAGATTCCCTGTTTAGGAGCATGGCACGCATAGTTACAGGTGACGCTACATTTTCATTCCAGTCAGTGACTGTTGTGATAAAAGTATCTGTGTTTTCCATGTTGACTTCTTTCAGACGTCATTATTTTCCTGTCCATCATGTTAATCCTCTAACTTCACGTCTTCGTTTTTCTAACATACATGCAGGTTGTCCACTTAATCTGGATCATCAACTCACTAAGCCATCCAGCTACCGTCATAAGGCAACTTTTAAGTCAGGACTGACACTGGCTGTATATTAATCATGACAGGTCCATGATTTGTGGGTGTTAGAGGCCAATGCCAGGGGGTCCTGAAGAGGCCGAGAGCCTCGTGCTATCACTTGCAGAGAAAGTACAGCACGAGGACTAATAAATGAGTTCTTTCTGTATGAAAAAAGGAACGATCCTTTAAATCAGGATGATCATGGATAAAAAAAACATAAGCTTGAGGCCGCCATGGGTATGGCTCTCCCATAGGAATAAATGGGGCCATGGCCAGCATATGCATTATTAAGAGGCCATTTTAGGAGGACAGGCGGTATGGCTCAAAGCGGGGCAGCACAGTACATATCGCTGGATTAGGGCTGAAGGTAAGAATGAGACCAGGTGGGCAGAACTTAATAGGTAGGGGTATCTAATTAAAATAAAAGTACATTTATGCTTTAAGTTAATATCATTTCAAATAATCTGGAGACAGACGTTCACCTTTACTTATATCACACCAGAGACACCAAACACTTGTCAGTATTAAGCCAAGACTTGAATACTGCCAGCGCTGCAGCTAATCAGGAACCTTTCAGAACTCATTTGGAACAATGCTTTCCATGTTCTCCTTTTAAGCGAAGGTTGATACAGACTTTAAAAGGCTTTCTCAGCCCCAATGAAATTCACGATTTGCTTCTACTTAGGAGATAAAAAAATGATTGTAAATAGAATTCAGTAACAAAACATAATTATGCTAAAAAAAAAAAAATCTAATAAGGTGCTCACACAGTTTGTTATTTTTTATAGGAAAACACACTAAAATATGTTACAGCCGAAGCCCAAAGCTGCAAGGTTAAAAAAAAGACAAATCGTTCCAAGACTGCGCATTAGAAACGCTTCCAGCGCTCATGGTACATGAATGAACGCCATCCAAAGTTATTAATTGGGGTGAGGGTGAATGAGACAGGAGATTCGAGAAATCTGTGTGTACTGGGTCTGCAATGTACCACATACTTTTTTGTTTGCTCATTCAGCTGTTGGCGACAATAGAAAAGCCCTGTTTTAGCTACAAGCCGCTGGGGTAGCAGCTTACACAGGGCTATGGGCTCCCAGTGCTGCGATAGCGAATGATTGGCTCAGAGCCATTACATGCTCCTCCATTCCTGGTGCTACCGGGTATTTCTGTTGGCTCCCAGTGCTGAATAGAGCTGCGGGGGATCAAAGAAAAGGTGAGTATATGTTGCTGGGAATGGAAGGGTGATTAAAGAAACCTTGTAATTGTTGAGTAGCCTAAAGCAAGGACATGCTGCAAACACAGTTCCTGCGAGATTTGGGCTACTCAACGTTCTCCGAGATCTGTCTGGAAGGATGATGATGTTACCCTTGCATAGGCGCTGGTGGAGGAAAACAGGGAAAGGTAAGAATAGTATCTATTTTTCTCCCCCGCAGGTACTTTTATATAACATTTTTGGGAGGGGGGCAGCCTAAATAAGCAGACCTTGCCATTGAAATGGAATGTCCACTTAATCCCATCTTCTTGGAACTACTTAATTTATGGGAGAGAGGGAGAGGGAGAGAGAGAGAGGGAAAGGAGAGGGGGGGAGGAGGAAGAGAGAGAGAGAGGGAAAGGAGAGGGGGGGGGAGGAAGAGAGAGATCTTTTTTTTTTTAATGCAACTAATCGAAAAAATAATCGGGCAACTAATCAATTACGAAAATAATCGTTAGCTGCAGCCCTAACCTAATTCACCTAGCTAAGAAAGGAAGGGAGATCCCATTCATGACTAGAATCCAATGGAATAGTGGCAGACCCATGGCAGGTTCCAACTGCCTTAGCCTATCTGGAACGGTATAACATGATAAAACAGGGATGGTGTAAAATCTAGTCCCTGTCAACGATGAAACTCCTGTACCATAAGGGATAAGATCCATCATGAATACGCAGCATAGAGATGGCCAGAAACGGTCTGATTTTCATTCTGTCAGATCAACGAGATTTACCATCAGTTATGTGGAAAGAGGACCTACCTACTCAATTCTTTCATTGAATCAGGAAGTCCCTTAAAGTAGATGTAAAGCCCATGTGAATTTCATTTACTTTGCTGAAAAGCTGGTAAAATAAATAATTACCATTTAAAAAAAATGAAATAATGTTGTCACCATTTGGTCTATCTCTTGCTGCATCTCAGTGCTGCTGATCTGCAGCCTCTTTGCAGACACTTCCTTCCTCCTTGCACTTTAGTGAAATCTGCATGGCATTTCCCAGGATAGGTTTCCTGATGGTGACGGTAGTGAACCATGCCTGCGCAATGTACAGTATATCACACGCAGCCGCTTGTAGTCTCAGCTGGGTGAGAGGGTGACAACGTAGAAGTCAGGAGACAGGTAGAGAATGTTGTCACCCTTAAACTGGAAGTGTCTGAACAAGGACCTTCACTGCAGGGTCACCAGGGATTATTAATGAAAGCTGGAGATATACAAATATTAAAAGTGACTTTTGAAATGAGGAACATGTCAAATCTAATATAAGATTCTATTGAAGGGTCTACATCTACTTTACCCTATCAGAGGGTAGTTGCTTGAGCTAGTCATCCTCATGTCCATGAGTCATCGGAGGTGACGCAGACTAAACCTTGTTGGTGGGAACAATTGATTGGGCAGGTTTGTCTAAATCTCTTTTGCTCCCCCCAAAGATAAGGGCCCCTAGCAGTGTTTACCTGGGTTGCACATCTCTGCCCACCTCTACAATCTTGCTCCGCCTCCTCCCTTATTGCAGCCCGGAGCTGTTGTTCTTGGCCAAACCGTTCCGTTAAGTTATTGAATTCAGCCTTGAAGAAGTATGGAGCGCTAGGGATCAGTGCTGCCAAAAACAAGACCTCCACATCCAATCAGGATGTTGGATGTGGAGGGCTTGCTCTATGAGGAGCCTTACACTAAACAAATGCTTGTAAATTTGGCTGATCTGACAGATGAATTTCTGACTGTGTGCAAAAAAAATCTGTAAAAAAATATACATAACAAAAATCTAAACAAATAAAGCCATCATTTCCTATAGACTGTTACACTCCATCACTCCAAACATAATTGAATTTTCCTTAAAGTACATCATCTGGCGATCCTTTTGTAGGCTGAGCCAAAACTTGATAGCCATCGGCATCGGTGACAATATTGAGGAACCAACTTCCTTTTACATCAGCAAGGTCAGAAATGCCTAAAGAACTGCCTGGCTAGAAGGTTGCAATTATTGGCAAAATGGCGAACAACAATGCTGAATGTTATAGGTAATGGTAAGATACTACTATGTTTTGGGTGGAGTGGAGAAGCATTCAATCCCCTGCCTTGTCTGCACTACTATCCAAAACTATACCAAGTGATCTTTCCTTCCTAAGGGGCCAAGACAAGCTAGAAGTTTGCAAGCGGACCTTCTGTTGTCACCGGTCTCAGTTTTGTACCTATGGTGAATCCACCGTAGAGTGCATAGAAATATTGTATTGTGCGCACTCTAGTGGATCCTCCCCGGGAACATATGGAAAGCCCATAAGCTGGAGAAAAAAGCAAACGCAGCTTGTCATGGCCATGATAGGAATGGAGGAAGATCTCCCCGCCTCGGTCCCTGACATCAGCAAAGCCTTAATGGGAAGATCAAACTCTTTTCCAAACCACCAACAGCAGAAGGATATATATTTGGGTGGAGTTGCCCTTAAGACTTTAGATGCATATCAAACACCTTAAGACACATACCTAAAAACAGAAAAAAAAATCAAATGGCAATGGACCAACGCAAACCAACTATCAGAGAGGCGCAGGCGGTGTGGAGAACACCCGAGGGTGTCAATCTCACAGCTGCAGCCTCTAACCATGCGACAGCCGTGTTCTGCTTCCACACTGGGCCTTGTGATCTGTTATAAGGAACCTGGTGCCAGGGAAGAATCTGTCTCCTCCGTCTGCCACTGCAGCCCAGAGCTGTTATTCTTGGCCAAACCCTTCCGTTTCCTCAATGGCAAAAAAGAGCTTTTCTTTCAGCTGTTCGTAGCTTTTGTAAGGAGGCAGGTCCAGTCTGTTGAAGCTAAAAGCAGAAGAGGACAGAAATTAAAACACTGAGATTCTTTTTTCCAAATCTGACTATTTTAAAATAGAAGTATTATGATAATTTCCAAATCAGTGGGGAAGCCCCCAGGGGACCAAATGCACTTGGGTCCTGTCCTGATTTTGTGTTGGGGTTGCTGAGCTAGTGTGGTTGACAGCGTGCCACCCATCTCTCATCTCTGTTCAACCACGCAGCTCAGCCGGAGCGAGGTGTGAGGATCAGCAATCGTCTCTGGAAGCAGGTATGTGCTGTAGATGAGAGCCATCATTCACTACAACATGGACATGGTGGCCTGTCAATGTGTGACGCTCATTTGTATTTGCGCATTTGACAGTGGCTACAGTGCTGTGCTGTCGCTCCCCCATAGGAATAGCCATAAATTGGGCTTCACCCCGGGGTGGGGCTGATAGCCAGCACTAGCATCAAAACAGCAAAGAAAGATGTGCTTTTATTGCACAAGAAGGTCAAAGCGGGACCAAGTGCATGGAATTGGGGAATTCCACAACAAATTGGAAATTATGATAAGACTTTTCAATAAATGGAATTCTAGTTTTAGGTAGGTGACAATTGGTGGCATTTAGCTTCCAAGGTTGAAAACCTTGCTCCAACTCCTGCTACCTCCAATGCATTACTATTGGCCCTTTGCTTTGACTGGCAGCCTAATAGGCCAATAGTCAGGGTAAGGAGCTCAGAGGGGGTTGGAGGTGCCTTCTGTGTATTGCCAGCTAAGTATATGTCACATTAGATTTGCTTTAAAGGAGAACTATGGGGTTAAGTCTTTTCCCCATAGTTCTCCTTAGGGTAACGGGAGGACACAAGTCACCCTAGGCTAAGTATACCGCAAGCTGCTGCTCACGGTATACTGAGATGCCGCAGCTGAAGCGGATCCCGACAATTGTGCCAGGATCCACCCAGCTGCGTGACTGACAGCTGGCTCTGCCTATCTAGAGGCAGAGCCAGCTGTACCCGCCCCCTCCCCGTCTGTTCTGCCAGTCAGCGCTGGCAGATCGGAGCGGGGAGGGGGGAATCGGGTTCCATAGACTCACCGCTCCATTCTAACTTCTGCTGCAGTCGGTCCATATTCTGGATGCAGGATATAGTGCGCTTCCTACTTATTCAGATAAATCTTCAAAAGATCCGCAGCACAACCAGAACAAGCCCAGGTGGTGAAACGCGTGAGAGGCGTTGGCATGGTGTGGAAGATGTTCATGGTGATATACATGCTGCTCAGTGCTCTCTTGGATTTATTTTTGGAAACTGTTTGGATTACTGCAATACATTTTGGATTGCACTTATTCTGGTTGTGCAGCTGATCTTTTTGAAGATCCCCAGGGAACCGCTTATAATATTCAGTATATGTAGTGCTACAAAGTTAAATGAGACTAGGTTAAATGAGACTGCTAGAGATCAATGTCCCTACAGTCCCTTTATAATTCAAAGCTTCCACTACTAGCTGCCGCACCATGAATAACAAAGGGCCGCAGGTTTGGCACCAGGGCCCTATGGTATGGGTCTTACCAGGTGTGACTCCGTGGCAGCCAGGTATCTTTGCCAACTTTATCAATGCAGAACTTCTGGTGTCCATTACTTCCTGCAAGACACAGCCAGAAAGGTCAGAGCTGACTCCAGCAGCAAGGGTGAAGAAGTGGACAAAGGATAACATTTAAAATACAAGTACAAATCCAACTTTAAACATGATGCTTAAGAACATGTGACAATGAATAACTATTAAGCTTGCTATACATTTCATTGGACCATAGCGATAGAAATAAAAAACAATCCAGTGCAAGTGGCCCCTGATGGTCCCTCCTTTACAGCATGTGAACTGACGTAAAGCATGTACATAAGAAAAATGTGGAGAGGGTAGGGAGGTAAAGACAGAAAAGACATGCTCAGCATCCATATATGTGTTCCTGTTCCCTCAACATTAATGACTGCCAATGGCTTAAGGAGCATACACATCTAAATGGTTCCTAGAGACAGAACTCTGTGAAGGTTCTCATTCATCCAGGTCATGAGATATAGATAGATAATAGATATATACATAAGAACTGGCCTTGCTGTATTTTTCCTTGAAGAGGCTTTGCTGGTCATCCAACTAGCTTTCTCAATTCAGAATGAATTGATGAAGCTAGTTGGATGACCACTGAAACATCTTCAAGGAAAATACAGCAAATTGTCTTGATTTATTTTATACAGATACAGGGACAGAACTGTATGCAGAGATTCCAGTGTCTGCAGCTTTATCAGAAAAGAGAAGGAAAAAAGGAATTGGAGGGATGCCAGTTGATGTCAATGCAGTTTTAAGGGTCAGCAGGTAAAAGGTAATAGTTAATATTTGCAAGTGTGCTGGATCTGCTTGGATATATTAAAGCAGCGAATAGGTGAACAAACATTTTGCAGACTCAGTCTTAGGCCTGGTTCACACCTGGGCGTTTTACGGCGCGTTCCTACGCTTTGTAAAACGCTCAACATGTGAAAACAAACGATTGCCTATGGGCATGGTTCCCACCTGGGCGTTTTACAGCGCGTAGGAACGCCCTACGCCCAAAGAAGTACAGGAGCTTCTATGGGGAGTATTTGCCGCACGTATCCATTGGGATACAGCCAGGAAGCCCTCGGTAACGCGCGTGTCGCACGTTTTTTTTTACCGCGAATCGCAGTAAAAACGCATGGCACGAAAAATGCGCATATTAGATACACCTAGGTGTAAACCCAGCCTTACAGCCTGCCAAGTTTAGCCAACAAAAAGGACATGCCAGGAGCGCATTTAGTACAGAGAGCACCTGAAGGGTAAACAGAACTGCAGGCATGTGAGTGGCATTTTACTGCTGCTGAAAAGTGTCAGGTATCAGGAGGAGGGAATGCTGGGAGCTGTGAATCATTACAGGCACACACGTCATTGGACCCAGAAGTACTGGGAGGTATAATCACAGGTACACTGTACAATGACAAGGGGAACACTACAAGTGCTGCTGTTTTTTAAAGTGGTCACAGCAACAACAAATCTGATCTGTAATGTGGAGGAAGAGAGGACAACAATGAAATATAAAAGGAACAATATGTAAATATTTTTTATGAGACTTTGGAGGTGGAAAAAAAAATAATAATTATAACTTCTCATTGTCCATTTCCTTCACCACCTGTCAAAGAGACACATAGCCGTTGTCATTTTACAGAAGCCGATACAGTCCATAATTGCATTTTATTATTTTATTCCAGTAAAATAATCATTTGACTAAAAATGTCACAATGTGGCCAAAAGTTTGTGGACAACAGACCATCACATCTCTATGAGCTTGATGGATATACCATTCCAAAACCATGGGCATTCATGTGACCCCTCTCCCTTTCATTATGATAACATTCTCCACTGGGAAAATTTCCACAAAACGTTGGCGTGTGCCTGTGGGAATTTGTTCCCATTCAGACACAAGAGCATTCGTGAGGTCAGGTACTGATGTTCGACGTGGCTCACAGATGGCGTTCCAATCCATCCCACAAGTGCACAATTGTCTAAAATGATCATATATGTAGTATTAACAGCCCTTCACTGAAAATAACTGGGGCTACGTGGGCAGTGCTGGTGGAGTACTGGGACCTGGATTCAATTTCCAGAAAATATTCTGGACTTTGTGGGTGTTTTCTGTGCTTGGCTGGGTTTCTTCTAGATGTATAATGGACTTATACACAGATATAAGTGCTTGGTTCTTAAAAAAACACCCACCTGCCAAAACCACTGGACCTGCTTGCTGTTTTTTGTGTAGTGCCGGTAGATTGTATTCTTCTGCCAGTCATTCAGATCGATCTCCTGCATACCGCACAGCATGAGCTAAAAGACAATAAATAATATATAAGTGCCATTTCTTTTTTTTTTTCTCTCTTTAATACAGGTCTTAATAGGAGCACAAAGCATATCTTTAAACAAGCTTTATCGGCCACCAACAGGCCAAAAAAAAAATGTTGGGAGGAGAGCCCAGTCATGTGACCTGCCAAAGTCATGTGGACTGCATGCCGCATCATGCCTTTTACGAATGGGCCATAAAATGCTGACTGCAATGTCGAGTGACTTTGTGGTGTCCAGCCAAGAGTAGATAGCAGTAACCAATCTCAGCTGTTAGTTTTACCCTGCTTGTAAATACTTGCTTGGTGTATTGCTCTTCCAAAAAGTGTATGCAAACTAAAGCTGGTTATACACCTGCAGGCTCAACGAAAAAAATAGAACAGATTCCTCCATCAATGCTTACAAGTGTTGATGGACAAATCCCCCGCTAAAAATGTCAGGTGGTCATAATAATCTGCCACTCAGTGTATATGGTTATATTTTTTTGTTGGGCTGAACGCAGAAAATTTTACGGATTCGTCCATCAGAGCTTATGAGTGTAGATGGAGCAATCCCCTGCTGTTTTGAAAAGATGATTGGCTGGTAGCTCCTTTCGGCTGAGAATTTTCAAACCAGTATTTTCAATCAGCTGATCGAGGGATGCCGAGCGGAAGGGTGCCAACAGCGGAACCCACGCAGAACCGGTCGAAACTCGAAGCGTGTATACCCAGCCTAAGAGTAAAGGAAAACTGTACGTCGAGGAATATGGAGGCTGCCATTGCCTGGGCTTCCTCCTGAAATGCTAATGGCCTAGCATACTAATCCAATGACTTTAATCATTTCTGATGCACCAACCTTGAACAAGCATGCAGGACAGTTGTTCTCACTTCACTCTGACTTTCCTGAAGCGCATAGTTTCTCCAACTCAGAAAATACGAAAGTCAGAGACAAGCCAGGCAAGTAGCATTTTCAGAAAGGTTAGCAACAGCCGTGTGCATGTACACGGCCTTACTGAAGTAGACGACTGTCACTCAGTGAACATACCTCCAGCTCCTTCTCGTCAAAGTATCGCAGCCATTCGAGGGGGACGACTTCATTGAAACCATCCAGAAACGCGTTAGTCTGCTCCTCCACCCCACGCATAAATCTCCAGTCTGTAAGGAGTCTGTGATAGAGAACTGAAAGTTAGTTTTCTGCTAATAACACTTGTATATTCCAGAATCCAAAATATAACTAGGGGTACCCTTACACAAGATGACAGAAACCTGATCGAGCCAGTTTCTGGGTGACAATCTCATTGGCTAACATCACTATTATTGTATGGCTGCTGCACACCTTGATTGCTCACTGTCCTCTAAAGTCCCTGAGCGGTTTAAATTCTCATTGTCTTAAGGTGGCCAAACATAGAAAGCAATAAACAGCTCAATCCAATAGCCCAATGCAATGCTTGGTTGAGGACCAGACCATTACGATGTGCAATGGAGGCCATGAGTGTTTCCAACACCCATGATCAGGGTAATGCACAGACTCTATCAATGTTTACCTCCAGCCTCAGGTCTGTATGGAAGCGCGGACTTGGGCTGTAAGAAGTGCGGCTGGACTACAAGGGGGTGAAGGAGGAGGAATCATCGATGCAGCCTTGCACAGTTGTACATTTGCAGTGGCAAATAGGACATGTAGTAATTCAATGGGAACGATCCCAGTGAATGGATGGCATGGCTGTACGGGTGGAGTCATGCACAGCTGAGCTGAATTAAAAAGCATATATACGTTTTTTTGCCTGAAATTCAGATCTAAAAGGCACTTTGGGGAATAATCTTTGGGACTATGCTTCAGGTTACACATGGGTGGAACATGAAACATAGGTCTAAAACTCGGACTTAGCCTTTAAGGACAAGCAAATGTTATTCCAAGCTACGTACGTGATAAATTCTTCTTTATTCTCCTCTGTCACGCGGATGTTTTCCCCACCCTCTTTCAGCTTATGGGAGGTCACTTCTCCTAATATCTCCATGTCCTGAACAAAGTATAGCTCCAGGTCACATTCCTCCAGATTATTCTCCCTGTAGGGGACAGAAAGAGTAACATCATGAAATACTACAAACAAGGAAGATAGAGGACAACACAGGCAAATCTCCCCGCAGGAACGCTCAAGGTGATTACACTGACTTCTCACACATGCCGGGACCTGATGCAATCTTCTGGATTTGATGTTGGCGGTTTGTTCCTTTTTGTGCACACAGAAGGAAACAATCGCCAATGTGCTGAGAAAGCTTTTCCTACATGTCCTAAAATATTTATATATTCTGGAGACATTTTAATGCTTTGTTGTTAACCTCTTATTGCAAGCTGTATCCCTTTCAGGCACCCAACAAACATGGCCACCAGAGAGAGAGAGGGCACAGCATGCAGGAGGACGCTACTGCTTCTCCTATTTGTATTCTTCCCGAATTTATCGCATTTACGGTATATTAGCACAATTTTAAACAGACTGCATTTCCCTCTAGTGAGGCAGATGAGTCCTTACCAGGTAGAAGTAACATGCAGTTTACTGTAGTGAAGTGTCAATATATCCACTATAGCTACAGGAGCTGGGCAAAGGGCAAGAGAAAATATCATTTATCGAAGTAATCGCTGTTTACTTTCTCCTACATAAGAGATTTTAACCGATAAAAAAATAATTAAAGCCATTGTACAATAAAATGCAAGGTAGGCTTACAATGCCTGGGCTCCCTTTCCCGTTCCAAATAACCTAATAGGAGGTGTAAAATGTACATGGTGACGTCACACTCCTCCCGGCAAGATCTTGGGGAGCACAGACCAGCTGACATCTCATGAGAAGACGTTTCTGCAATGGACTGAAGCATCTTCTCGCAAGGTTTTGCCCCCACTGCATTCCCCGGGAAACTTCCTGGAAGGACAGTGACATCATGCCGAACGAAGCAGAAGATTGTGGTAAGGGAAGTATAAATCAAACTTTTTTTCTTTCCAGGTACATTTTAGCATTATTAATAGTAGTCGATTTATGAACGGGGACAGGGCGCAGGAAATATGAGCAGACCTTGCATTTTACTCCAAGGTTTGCTTTAACAGCAGGAAGGTCTTATTCTTAAACAATATGTGAAGTCCAAACCGGTTAGAGCAAGGAATGGTTAGAACCGCTGAGTTTCTGTCCGTTTGCTGTCCGTGTCCCAATGGGGAGATTTCCCTTCAATTCCTGTCCTGGAGACACAGTAGTGAGAGGAAGTCTCTCCAAAAAGAGGGGAAATATCCTCTTAGTTGGTGCCAGAACAAGCGCCCCCACTGGACAGGAGCAGAGTCAGGAATTATGGCAGGAGATCTCGCTCCTGGAGTATTCAAGGCATGTAAGACACCCGAGGCTGAACTAACCCAGTAGGATTCACCTGTAATAACGTAGGAAGGATGAGAGTGCCACAGCACTAGAGCAAGTGCATTTGATTCTTATTGTACATGATATGAGAACAAAAGCCATGGCATGTTGGGGGCTCAAAAATCTGCCTAGAATATTTTAAGTTATGATCTTCCATGTTTATGTTATGTTACGTCATTTTATATTATTTTATTAGCAAGCCCTGATGAAGGTGTAGTTTTGAGCCCCTAAAACGTGTTCAATTTTATTCTCTTATCATGCACACAAAATCATCTGGACTCGCATTAGTGCCGTGGTTAGTGCTGAGGTGGGAGCTGCCTTCAACTTCTGATCCTTCTCCAAGTTTCTGATCCAGCGCTCCACTAACATGTATTGTTAACACGTTGATAAAACGTATTTAAAAAAAAGTGAACAAAACAAAGCAAGACCACCACAAAAAATAGACGATAACAATGGCGCTTAGCCCAACTCACTTGATCCAAATAACGGAATTGTAGAACTCCGGGTCAATGGACTCCAGGTCTTGCAGCGTTGGTTTCTTGTTCAGCATCCTCTTGTAGAAAGGCAGAGTAAATCCAGTGTCTATGAACTTGCCATGGTACAGAGCCTGAACAGCATGGAAGCAAACAATATAAAAGTGCAATTCAAGGAACAATACCTCACCCACCCCACAAAAAGTCTCCTGCTTACCATTGCGATGAAGCGGCCGATGAAGCGGAAGTAGGTCAGGTGGTCTGGGTTGATGGACGAGGCCGGGTTTATCTGCAGGCAGTAGTTATTTTTCCCCGCGTATTCAAACAGGCAGTACATGGGATTCAGAACCTCATGGGACAGTAAAAAGAACCACTCTCTGCCAAAGGATGAAAGGGGTCCATTGGAATCAAAGGTTTCAGAAGAAAAAAAACACAAAGAAGACGAGACAAAGAGGTGGGGACAACAAGGAGAGAAAGAGAGACCACGATTCAGACCACCATAAATCAAGAAATCAACTTTAACTCGTAATCCCGAGCATTGACCCTATAGTGTCACTCCAGTTCTGTTACAGGTATTATAAAATATCGGTCATATTGATCCCTTGTAAAATGTAAAAAAAAAAATTCCCTCCAATGGCAATAGCGCAGTTTCTAGTCAGGATTTCCCAGAATGCTCCTTACCAAGGAACTAGTTCATTTCTACCATGGTGTACCGAGTCTCAGTTTATATTACATGCAGCTTGTTATATGAAATAAATAATTCCCCAGCATCTGCCTAGATACAAGCATTGCTTTCCGTGTACTAATACCTCTCAGTTTCCTAGTTAAGAGCCGAGATAAGCAGGACTCAAAACTAAGTTTGCAAAAATCTTTCATCCATCTACCTACCATATGTTTCCAAACTGGAGTTTCACTTTAGGTAATGACAAGTCACAAAGGTTATCCGAGTTTATAGAAGGTCATTTACCCAAACAGAGGCGAGTATCTGCTGACAGGTTGAAGGTTGGACGGCTCCATGGTGAGAGCTCCCCGTATCCTGTCCGTGGTTCTACCCTGTGGTAGAACAGCCTGACGTAACCTACCATAGGGTAAAACCACTGGGAGGACACCGAGGAGAGACACGAGAGCCAGAGGACACCGAAGATGCAAGACCACAAGAGTGCCAAGGGACCCAAAAAGCCAGTGAACAGATATGAGAACCCAAAACCAAGGAGCACAGAAGAAATGAACCACCATCCAGGAGGTGATGAGCTGTAGAGCTGCAACGTTCATTAACAGAGATAACTAACAGAAAGAAGAGCCTAAAATCAACCCAAATACTGAAACCAAGAGGAAAAGCTAGAGGAAAAAGAATTTGGAACAGCAAACACAGATCAAAAACAAGGCAAGCAACATCAATACAAAATCAATTTGAGCCTTAAAGGGAAACTATAGCAGATCTGTACATTGTTAAAACTTTTTTCTGCACCTAAAGTGTATTTCAAGCCCAAACTTTTTATTTTGGATAGAGTGGACTAGAATTCCTGTCTGGTTTATACTGCAATCTGGGGCTCCATTACAAAGATCCGCCCTCATTTCCTGTCCTGCTGACAACAGTTTCATCAAACAGGTAGTGAGGGAACAATCAGAATCAGGGACACAGGACAGAAATATTATTCTGGAACAAGTAAAGATGAGGTGCTGGATTGAAATCAGAAGACCAGTCAGATCATTCATAATAAAGGCTCTGGTGAGGTTGCTCTGGATAAAAACATGGTGTCCCTCAAAAAAGGGGTCCAGATTTGAAGAGTCTAATGAGGGTGCCAAACAGTCTAGGAGTCCAAAAAGTTTTTGCTGATTCAACGATCTGACTATATTCTACACAGCAAATAATCAACTCTCTTGATTTACGTTAGTTTTGAGTCCCTGTGATTATCCATTATGTATAAGCCCAGAAGAGGAAGTCTTTGAGCCCCTAAAACACGTTGGCTGTTTTGTTTATTCGGCGCTCTCATCAGACTTTATCTGACACGGGTTCTAGCCTATCCCACGCTACTAAAGAAAACCATTTATTTCAGGTTAATGTTGCTGTTGGAGAGTTACCCTCATTTTTGTCTGGTGAAACGTTGTCAGCAGGGCAGGAAGTGAGGGTGCATCTCTCTAACAAAGCCCCAGATAGCAGTAAAAATCTGATAGGGGGTTCTAACCCCTCCCCTCACATCTAAAAGTAAGAAAAAAACGTTTCGGCTGGATATACAATTAAACATCACTAAAATGCCACCCTCCCCCAAAGCCCACCTTTTATTTTCGCAGATCCCCCCTCTAGTAGCCATCTAAATACAGACAGTATAATCAGCTTGCTGAATGACTGCGGAGATTCAAAATCAATTTGATAATACATTTTGGTAATGGAATCATCATAAGTTTAAGCTGATCCTTCTCTATAGTAAAGTTATAGCAGCAAATACCAGGTGGTAGAGGTGTGCTGCCACAAATATGTCTGCCTGCTATAGATTCCCTTTAATAATAGCTCTGATTGGCAGCGATAGCGCCTTCTTACCTAGCAATGCCGCCATAGTCCAAACCTTCTTCACCGCGCATAATGATGTAAAGCCTACGGCGGAGATCGTAGGGCTTCATGTTCATGATCTGGGGAGATAACATGGGGTTATAGAAACAATGGTCTCCTCTATACGTAGGAACAGCATGTATCTGAAGACATTGCAAGGGTGGATGTTGCCCTGCCCAAAAAAATGTGACTAAATGGATACCTACTGATTAAGACTAGATCTTATTTACTGAAGTCCATACAGTGTACATGTCTGCAGCAGGGCTTCCTATGACATCTTCTGTCCCAAAAACTTTTATATTATTTAAAAGTCAGTTCATTTAGAGATAATCTTGTTCTCTTGCAAGGAACCCGTGTCTTATCCACTAATCATCTAACTTCATTGGAGTTTAGATGTGAAAGGTACTGTTAATACTACAGCATACAAAGACATTTTAGAGAAATATGACCTTCCCACCTTCTAGGTAAATTTTTGGGAAGGGCCTTTTTCTATTTCACAGTGACTGTGCACAAAGCCAGTTCCATAAAGACATGGTTTGATGGGTTTGGTGTAGAGGAAACTCCTGCAGATAGCCCTGACCTCAATCCTACTCAACACCATTGGAATGCCAATTGGGAGCCAGGTCTTCTCATTCAACATCAGTATCTGACCTCACAAATGTTCTTTCAGCTTTAAGGAGGAATCGGCTACCTCCAGGCATACCTCCCCTCAACGTATTCATTGCTATATATGATTCAAGATGGAGGCTCTCAAAGATTAGAGCTAGGACCACACTACACAGAGGGGTATTGACGAGGCAGTGTGGCTTCCATATATTTTTGCACATTTTGTGCAATTTACACAAATTGTTAAACAGTGTAATTTATTCTGTTTTGCTAACTAGCTGGTAAGTGTGCTGGGTAATTTTTGTATTATGTTAAATGAGCACCAATGCCCACATTCCCTCCAAATTCTTATTAAAAACCTTCACAGAAGAGTGGGGGCTGTTAGAACTACAAAAGGAGGAGGGCAACTCCATATTAATGGCCATGGTTTTGGAAGGGGATGTCCAACAAGCTCATACAAGTGTGATGATTAGGTGTTCACAAACTTTGCCCATCTAGTATAAGTTCAAACATACATCTGGCTCATGATTTTCTATGTAAAAGCAAGTATTAGAGACTAAACATACTCCCTTACTTACTAAAAGTAAGAATTAAGGGACTGAGCATTACAATAAGTTTATGTATAGAAATGTAATGATTTCTCTGGTTCTCTGCACAGAAAATCCTGAATTTATGATGATCAAATTCATATTATATTCATCTATAGTATCTCCTGTGTTACCTGCTGGAAGGAGTCTTCAAACAAGGTCTGTCGTGATACACTGATCTTCACATGACTGGGGAGGGTGTTTGACTGAAGGAAAAATAGAGAGGAAATAAATAACCCATACATGCTATTGAGACACTGACAACAGCCGCTTTGTTGTATGTACGGCAGAGACGTACCACATAGGCTTTTTTTTCTTTTGCCCAGCAAGAAGTGCATGCTGGGTAATTAGTCTGTTTTGTGCAATTTGGGTTCTATGTGACTTCACGTTGATTACTTACATGGCACAGGAACCTGAACTGATGATATTTCCAGCGGAAGCTTCTGCTTCGGTCATAGGCTCCAGGTGAACCTCCAGGTTTAACCCTTTGGAAAACAAAGAGCATATATTTTACATGATAGCCATACCCCTCTGTATATACGTAGCTTACGTAGCTCCAGGACCTGCAGTCATTCTTGCCCATAACTGCACATAAAGGGGAATGGCAGATATTATTTTGTTAGTATTTGACAAAGTAGAGTTGGGGCACAATCTCTGTAGAGATTTTTACCCCTCTTGTTAGAACTCCCTGGCTTCCAGAGTGGTCACTGGCACAGTGAGAGAGAGAAAATCACTGTTGGGGACATTTACATTAAACATAAACCCAACAGAAGTAGCATGCCCTTCCCAATAAATCAAAAACATTATAACTGCTCTTAAAAAAAAAAACTCTGCTAATCAAGATTTGGCTGGTGTGTTGCCATTCCTGTTCACTGCCATGGCTGAACCTGGAACAGAGGAGAAGCTCTGCTCCTACAAACCAGTCATATTTTATATGTAAGTCAAGCTGGTCCAATGGTGAAGGAAGCCATGGACCTACCAGAGTTCTCACTGCCTACCAGACATCCTAAAACAGGGCAGATGCAGATAAGTTATCTGGGGTGTCTGCCAGCAGATGCCATAGAAGGGTTTTACTTAAGCTGGGGGACCAAAAGCATCACAAAGCTCTTTCATTCTCGTAGTGTTACAAACAACATTGTATATTCAAAAAATTAAAATGAAACCCAAAATACTCGACTTAAGGTGGAATGATGTTCATTTAACATGAATGACTAACACTGAGGTCCTGTTTAAGTTATATGCGATTCATTTTGAATGGCATCCCAACACACTAAGGCAATGCACATGTTTTGCACTTGCCCCAATGCACAGCAATCCACCATATTGTGCTGTGTTGACATATTAAAAATTGTGTATCAAGTCTGATTTTTGGGACCTTTCAGTGCATTGTGGTCCTTTTTCTCATCAATATGTCGAAACAGCCAAAGACAGTCAACAATTTTAAAAAAAGCACAAAAAAAAGGAAACATAACCGTTGTGCCGCCCCCTTCTTTGTTGTTGTCCTAAGTACAGGCCCACAAGATCATTATGCTAAATGCAGCTCTATCCCCCCTGACTTCATGTAACACACATTCTCACCTGCTTTTGTTACTGTTGTACTGATCTATGATACATAACACAGCATTCTACCCCACCCTACTGCCTTCAACTAAACTTTGGACAAAAGGGGGTTATCATATGTACCCTGAGTCAAAGCCAGGCCTGGGATCCTTAAATGTTGTGGTACGAGAATTGTGATCCACAAAGTAGCGAACTCCCTCGCTGGTGTACTTCATTTCCCATCCTGGAGGCAGCGCTGGCTCCTGAATCATACTAAAAAGAAAGGACAGAAAAAAAAGGGATTATTTAAAAACAAACTCCAAAATGTGTTGGCTCCTTTTAATCTACAATAAAATAAATTGGACTTTTAATAGTACTGTGGAGCTCTTATTCCTACCCCAGGCTACAGAGAGCTGCCTGTTTGCAATTGCACCGTCTAGCTCACTTTAAAGATCCAGTCCAGTGATCTACTAACACAATTTCGGTTTCTTATTAAATGTAAACTAATCAGAATTCGAATCTCCTACTGTCACGGAAGGATAGAGAACAACAGCGATCAGTTCAGTTACTATAGACAGCACAGATGCTTTCCCTTCAAATATAAATTCATGGATTATCAATGTTTCTGTTTTCACATCCTCACCCCTGAGTGCGTGGATCTTCCCATTGTGTGGTCCTTGTGTTGTGGTTCACGTAATAGACTCTCCCATTGTCCTGTCGCTTTTCTGAAAGGGCAAGAAAAAAAAAAAAGTCATACTGTACAGTCAAAATCACATTCCACACAAAACCTGAACGGACCAGAGCGATAAAACATGTGCATTTATCTTTTCATAGTATTTTCAAAAATACCCTCAAACTGAACACAAATTCCGGTCACTGGGCCTTTCTGACTACGCGTGTCGTTGGCCGCACTGCCTTTTTAGAAATAAAATAAATAAATCTTTCTTAACCTGAAAAGCCACAGAAGAACAAAAACAGCAGCAAGAAGTTTCTGGATTTATATTTACATAGAACACAGTGTCCCAGGAACTCCCGAAATCTGCAGTGCTCGAATATAGGGCTGCAACAACTAATCGATAATAATCGATTATGAGAATAGTTGGCAAAGAGAGGGGGGAGGGGCTTCCAGAGGCAGAGGCCTTTTGGGATTTGTAGTTAAAGCGCAGCTGGACGACCGAAGTTGCCCACCCTGATCTAGCCTCATCCTTTCATGGGCAATGTCTCAGTGTTAGCATACAGTCTTCTATTCCTAACTTCCCATCTTCTATGCCTAACCTTTTGCCTATTATTGCACAGTGTCCCATTGCTTCTGGAGGAGCTGTATTGGTTTGTTTGCATACATCAGTACAGGTCACATACAACACTACGATATACTACTACAACATTTAATAAATGACTAAGGCACATGATATGGAAGTCTATGCTGACATTTCAGATGCAGCCAGAGAGAAGCTCAGGCCACGGTTGATGGCGCAGGCCCCTGCTAATTGCAGACCATCGAGTCAGTTCTCCTAACCTCAGCCTCACCACACACTGCCCGACAGACTATATATACATTTCATCCTGCCACCCACACATGGCAGCGACCCCACAAGACTCCCAGGAGATCTATACAATGTTCTAATTATATGATTGAAAGAATTCCAATATAATAAAAAGCAGGATATTGTTTTAAAATCTGTTAAAATCGCTAACTGTAGCCAATTAAAGCTAAACTCCAGACAAGTGGCTAAATACACAGTGGAGAAGCATATATATTACCAGCCAAGGATTTGTAACTGTGCCAGACAGAGCTGCCAGGTTGGTGACTTCACTTTTCCCCCGTGACAGTTAAGCAACACAATTTGGTCACTGACCCTACCGCCAGCCTGCTTGGAAAATGAAGGAGCAGCAGCATGCTGATGAGGTCATCAACTGCCTGCGCTTGCCTCTCCTGTAAGCGAGGTTACAGTGTTGACTGACAGCACTGTGGAGAGCAAAAGAGCCATGTCGGATTGCTGGGCCCTTCCTACTGCAGTCTGAGTGCTGCTGTGCAAGGGATTTCAAGAACTCAGTATACAACCCAATACAGGTACACAGGCAAGCTATAAAAATATGCAATATGTATTATTATTAACAATAATAATATTACACAAATATTTATAATGTTTTTTTAAAGAAATACACAACTGGCTAAAATGTTTTCTTTTTTAAATGAATCACACTGGAATTCACGTTTATTAGTTATCTTTTCAGTAATTTTTACATTTAGAGTTAGAATAGGGTTAGAGCAGATCTAAACCCTAATTGGTGACATTTGTTTCCTCTGTGCTCTCTGTATCATTTCTTTTTAAGTTTTTAACTAAATTGTGCGCCCCGCACTCCCTGCTACTACACTCTCCCTAAATGCTTACTGGGGTTCTAGCCTTCCACTACTCTAATATATATGTATTATCACTTCCTCATGTATCACTTGCCCCTCCATTTTAGATTGTAAGCACTCAGGGGCAGGGCCCTCCTTACCATCTTGTCTTGAATTATATTGTGATTGTAATGTCTGCCCTACATTGTAAAGCGCTGCGCAAACTGTTGGTGTTATATAAATCCTGTATATATATAAAAATCACACATACACACACATATATATATATATTCTTCTATATACACACACATACATATATATAAAAAAAAAATTATTTGTTTGCGGCGTTGCTGTTGAAGATTTTTCCTCACTTCCTGTCTCATTAGACATGCCGGCAAAATCGGACAGCAGTAAAGTCCTGGCAGAGGTTGTCACCCTTCCCCACCATATCCAAAACTTAATTTCAAAAAAGTCTTGGTTGAACGTATACTTTAAGGGCTCATTCAGACGAGCATACACGCCTGTAAAAAAAAAACCCCAATGCTAGAAGGGACAGGTGCTGTGTGTAATTGCACGCAACATCCTGTTCTTGCCTAAGGGAGGGCGCGGCTGCACGAAATTACACATTGTCACATGCACACCCAAACCTGTCCATCCATGCGGGTCTGGGTGCCCACACTTGGACACACTGTCTATAAGTGTGCGCACCCGGACCTGCACGGTGTAGGTTTGGGTGTGCGCGTGACCGCGTGTAATTGCATGCAGCTGCGTCCTCCCATAGGGAAGAACAGGCTGCTGTGCACAATTACACGCAGCACCTGTCTCTTCTGGGATCGTGTCTTTTTATGGACGTGCATGCCCATCTGAATGAGCGCTACAGGTGAATTGAAGAAGGAAAAATACGCCTAGGTAACTGTTCACTCCTTTTTGATCAGGAACAATATTATTATTTGCAGTTTCATTGATATTTTGGGTTTAATACAACGAAGCAGCAAAAGAGTGTATGGCACTATCATAAGATAATATTAATAAATGG